AATGCAGTGATCCCTCAACAGAAATAGCAAGCTGATTTTGCAATACAGAGCTGCATTTTGCATCATCTGTGTTTCCCTATCCATTAGTTGCACCTATTTTGGTTGAAATATGTGCTAAAATCACTTCACGCTGCTAGAAGATCCATACTCAGAAACCGGACCGTGAGAGAGTCAGCTTTTATTCCTGGTGCCGTGCTAACACAAGGCATTAATAAAGTGTTATTTCTTCTCACTGCTGAGCTATCATTTTTTAGTCACTGAGTCTTGATTTCCCAATCAATCATCTTCAATATCAGTATGCTTTAAGCAATCAGATGCATTTGTATGAGAAAGCAGCGAGTATTTAGCAAAGAAATGAATTTTTCAAATTCCCAGGATGCCTAAGTTAAAGAAAATTCACCATTCTTGCAGATAGGTGTGGCACCTCAACACACAGTTGTACAGTTTCTGGCCAGAGACACTGTCTACAGAGACAGCTAAACACAAGACTGAAACACCTACTAAAGGATCAAGTCTGGGAAAACATGAGCAGAATTCCTTGATAAGTATACCCAGCTCTAGACTTTGTCACTGAAGAGTCAGCGTGTTTTGACCAGTGATCATAGGTTCACAGGCCCTCAAATACCATTTCTAAAATGAAACTACATTAGTAATGCTAATTATGAATGGCCTATTTTCATGTTTTCAAATTAATATAGTACAGAAACACTCTAAAGAATTTTGAATTTTTGAGTGAATATAAAGCTGTTGAACTTTGAGGGGGAGAATTTCAAAGGCACAAACAGCACTTAACTTCCAATTATGCTTTGGAAAATGTCCCACTAGAGGCTAATAGAGCTGATTTATTTTCATAAACTTTAATTACTTCACACTTTTTTTCTTTTTTTTTTTTTTAACTGAACAATATAATCAGTTCAACAGATCAGCTCAAATACAATACAAAAAGCAAAAAGGGACCTGCTCCAAATCCAGATTTTTTCCTGGAAGTTTAAATTTTTAACTAATCTTCATATTGCATGTCTAGATCATAGAATTGCTCGGGTTGGAGGGGACCTTACAGACCATCCAGATCCAACCCCCTGCCTCAGGCTGTTTGTCTTGCTGCCACCACCAGATCAGGCTGCCCAGGGCCCCAACCAATCTGGTCTTGGGCACCTCCAGGACAGGACATTCACAGCTTCAAGACAGATAACTGAACACTTGTGCTTGCTATAATATCTGTATACAACAAGCATACTCTTCCACATAACTAGAAACTACATATTATTCTAGATAACTAGGACATATTTTTAGTAGTGGTATTTATATTAACTAATTTGGGATTTAAAAATATTTTTGTTTTTTCTTTTATGAATTCACAGGCTTTTTTTTGTTTGTTTGTTTGTTTTTTCTTTTTTTTTTTTTTTCCAGCAATGTAAGTGATAATAACAGTGAAGAACTAGCTCAAGGTGTATTATTTGGACAGCTTGCAATGCCAGAGAGAGATCCAGCAAGACAGAACAGCGAGGAGAAATGTGCAGCTTTAGGTCTCCTTGCGTTCAATTCCCCCTTGTGCTGAAGATGTTGATTGAGACATCCAGTTAGTATTCGTTGCAATTTAGCAGCAGATTTTTTAGAACAGAAACCCCGTTTATTTTATATATTTATTAAACATAAGTGTCTCAATTACGGTGCTTTACATGCCTGGATGATTTGTGAGACCCTTCTGGAAAGAGCATGAGGGCAGGGCTGTTTGCTCTGTGAGTTGAGGTGAGAACAGGTGCTGTCTGGCAAAAAGCAAGAAAATATTGCCCTCTAGTGCACAAAGAAAGCAGAAGATGCAAAGTCCAAGGTGCGTGTGGGAGGGTGTTAATCATTGTTCCAAGATATCTCACATGCTAACAAAACTAAGACTTGCTGCAATTAGCTGTTTTGTGAGGAGATTATTCCCTCCTCCCCCTCTCCCCCCAAGGCTGTCCTTCCCACAGAGAGAGCAGTTCTCCTAATCCAATAAACCCTCAGAGTCGGGCTGAGTGACTCATCAATGTCACTGCGTCTGAAGCACGGCCTCATAGACAATGCTTCACTTGATCTGGTTTTATCTTTTTATAAAATCTTAATTAGAGCTTTAATAAGAAGTGAGATCCCAACAAGCACACAGCAAACTGCAGAATGAAGGAAGTACCAACGGGATTCAGAGAGGGGGAGGGGAGGAAGGGGAAGATAGTCTTCCAATTAACTCCATGATTTTAATTTCTTAGCAATAGCTGCATTTCTTTTCTATTTCTCCCTTCACACAGTAGACATTACTAAATACAGGACACTTTTCACACTTTTTTTGATGGCTTATTAAACTCAATGTAGAAGTTACTCACCTTGCTCGCTGTTTTTGTTAACTGCCACATGATACACAGCAGAGTCACTAACACTAAGTAAAACTCTAGTAAACTCACAGCCAGCCTCAGCAGCAACTCCCTCTACCTAAACTGCCAGAGCAGGAGTAAGCTTCTCTTGAATAAATAGACCTTTTAATTCACAATTGCTTCAGCAATTTTTCATGGCTGAAAGCGGTCTTTTGGTGTCTAAAGAGGGGGGGGGGGGGGGGGGGGG